TTCTTGTCTTTAATCCCACATTTACTTTCAGAATAACACCGACTTGTGTCTACCCAAAATGTTTATTGCATGAAAATCAGAAGAACAGAAAACGATGCAAATAAAGAGATAGCAAGTATAATGGGTGTCAAAACTTCAGTGTTTTTGAGTTTGTATTAAACATGGTTCTTTTGCTAAGCCGAGCCATAACACCAATACCATTAGAAAGTATACTGTGAACGGGAAGCTATAATGGGGAAAGGGGGGGGGGGGGGGGAGGGGGGGAGCGGTTTGGGGGGGATTTTCTTTTTTTTTTTGGAGAATGGACGAAAATCGGTGCGCGCGCAGGATGTCATCCATAAAATTAAAAAAGTGTAGCCTAACTGAAATTATTTCTCTGTCCGGGATTGAGGTCATTTCACTTCACAGCAAGAATAAGCCCACAAATGTCTCCCAAGCTGACACATTGATAATTTTACTGCTAAATTTATGATAAACAACAGTATCAAACTGGAGGCTAATTTAATATTTGCAGTATAAGATGACTCATATTTGAGTGAAGGAAGACTTCATCTTTGCTATCAGCAGCTTTGAAGTTGACCTACTTTTGTCACCAGGACATATAAAGCTATTCTGTGTCATCACGCAATTTTTATGTCTGTACTGCTTAAATTTCCTTTCATGTTTACTAATGTAATAGTAAGCAGTTTTATGTGTCTGCCATTTGCCTTTATTATCTTATACAGACTTGCAATGAAACTCTGACTATAACTTTTTATTGACTGTTTGTTTGATCCTGATACACCTCACAACAATCCAATTTTACAGACTGTTTGTTCTGATTTTAGTGCACAGTAAATTTGAGAATACCACTGTATGTGCACTGATACCGACAGAATGTGAGATACTCTCATGTACATGCGCGCGCACACACACACACACACACACACACACATACATGTATACACACATGCATGCTACACACAAACAAAAAACGTACATCTACAATCATGCACAAAACCAGGCACATTTGTAAACACACTGAGGAATTTTTTATAAAAATAATACACACAAATATACCAGTACTGTACACGTTTACATAAATACACAAAGATATATGGGAAACACAAAGATATGCAAACAGAGCAGAAAAAAATTCTAACAGCAAATAATTCAAACAGTTGTGTTTTACACAGTCTCTCTGCAACTAAATTCAGCTCTTCAAATTTTGGAGTGTCTATCCATAATCTTACTCAATGAAATATTGCAGTGTCAGTAACTCCAAATTCTGCTGATGTCTGCAGAAGCTACTTTTGTATATTGAACACAACAATGTAACTTACCATGAGAATAGTCATCAATAAGCGCTACCCTGCCTCGCTCATAGACATCAGAGAAAGACGGCCAGCCAGATTTAGAGTCAAATTTACTTTCAGACGAGAATAGGGTGCTGTTACAGACTATGCAATTAAATACACCTTCATCTGTTACTTTGACATATTTCCCAGAAAAGGCACTGAAATTAAATCAGTACATTGTCCATTAATATTATTAGAGCTTTTGATCTATAGAAAAAAATTCTAGAAATTTGAACATTTTGCCCTCTTTAAGCAAGGTACTGGTACTTACACATGTATCCTAACCAAAACTGTGAACTTATGACCTGTAAACCAATAATGTGTTTTGAACACTCCTAACTTTCTGCTTATAACATATTACAAGCCCAATTCTTCTATCTAGATCAGGAAAACCATAAACTCAAAATTCAGAAACTAAGACTAAACACATGATTAAGAAGTAGGGTTGTTCTGAATAGTCCAGTGAGTAGGTCTTATAAAAAACAAGGTCCAGAATATAAGCAGTGTGTACATGTAAAATGATAATTAACAGATCATCATGTACAAGTAAATATGTCCTGGGATTTCCTAATTAATATAATCTGTCCTTCAGGACATGTACTCCATACCTTTCTGTTCCCTTCTCCTGTGTCACTCGGTACTGTAGTGGGGTGAGGCGTTTTTTCAACTCCGCTTTGTCTATTTTCTTGGGACAGGAGCCATCATCTTGACATGACATTTTGGCTTTTTGTAGCACAGGGGTCAGTGGTTCTTTCTTTGCGGCAAGGCGCAAAATGTTCATATTGAAAAGTGTGGTGAGAAGTTACAGCTGGGATGGCCACATGTGGAAAAACTATCTTCTGTAAGTGGAATAATAATTATTTAATAGCTTATAGGCTCTCCAAGACACTCTTTCTCTCTCTGTCTGTGTTTGTGTGTGTGTGTCACTGTATGCGTGTGTACTAGTACAGCTCAGAGTATTACTGTTGACTGACAAAGTTTGTAATCTATGTCCTATCAAAGGAAATGTTTTGAATTGATCACAAGCCAAAATAAGCGCATGTTTTAATTACACTTACAAATTATACAGTGTGGCATTTGGAAATTCCACAAATAATTACGACTGCACCCATCCCGTTCAAGATTTACTCTTTCTTTTTCATCAAACCCAGTATATTTCATGTCTTTTGTTTTGAACGTAACATTACTTAACCAACTACACCTAAACTGTTTCTAAATCAAAACCATTACCTTCCAAAATCATCGATTACTTTCACCGAACTTCTACAGTTCGGCTTCCAGGCACCTGAGGCCCTTTCCGAACTCCCAAAGCGAAAGAGTGCTCATTTGTTTACTTCCTCCCAGTTTGACTGCTTTTGGATGACAAAAAATTTGTAATGTTATTATTATTCCACTTACATATAACGTTTTCGTTATGTATCTTTAATGTTTTATGGAGACATTATTATAACGTTTTAACAATTTAATTTAATTTTTCGAAACATTATCAGAACGTTTTAAAAACGTTTGTAAAACACTGTTAAAAACTTTTTAAACCAAACAAATTCACGTTAAAAACATTATATATATATATATATATATATATATATATATATATATATATATATATATATATATATATATATATATATATATATATATTTGTTAGGCTAGATGTAGCCACTTGTGAGTCCCCTCTAGTTTTCATTCTCTTGCCAAATTTACCTTCATATTACATAATAAAATTTATGTGTCAACGGTATTCTGGACATGTGGCCTATTTACTGTGGGCAATGACCAATTTTTGGACATTCCGCAATCTAAAAAGACTAACGATCAATCAAGAAAAGGATTATAGACGACACTTTTACGTTTTAATTTTTTAATACTTAAGTGTCTATTGTTAGGCACAATGATTTTTTTTCATGTCCCACAGTAGAAATTATCATTAGCATTATTATTTTTGATTCTTTATATCATTAATAATTTACCTTTTTTTCATATTATTTTTCTTTAAACTTTTAAGCAACATTTTATACTTATGTTTCCTGATAGTCTCATGTAGTTGCGATATTGTTCTCGTGCAAATAAAGAGTGTCCTTCCTCGTGTCTGTAAAACCAGTTTATTATTTCTGTTGCTAGATTTTACTTGTAAGTGTGTGTGTGTGTGTGTGTGTGTGTGTGTAAATTTGAAATAATCAGAAATTTCTGTTACAGTGACGACGAGTTGGGTTTGCCTTGTTTATTTTTCCCCCCCCCCCCCCCTCTCTACCAGTGCATAAAGGCCTACATAATTAATCATTATATTTTTATTTCTCAGCACCTTTTACATGACCTAAAATGCCCCCTTTCTACTTTGTCAATCAAATGTTCTATAGGCCCCTATGTTATTATTAGGTAATCTCTTTAAACACTAAAACTTAACATATTTAAACTGTATGCTAAATATCGACATATTTGGAAATTTAACAAAGGCCAACTTGCAGTTGTAATAAAGGCCGTGCACTTGGAAAAAATATTTTATTGTGAAATCTTCAAAACAACTGGCTTCTTAAATACGGTGTTAACATTTTCAACTCTGGCCCAATACAAAGAGGAATTTTCGCACTACCGGTACATGTCACCTTACAAAATTCTACTCGCTCTTAACGACTGTCTAGCTTTCATTCAGTTGCATTTAATAAAACCCTGTAAATTTGCCCTAAATGAAATCGTACCCATTTAATTTAACAATGCTAATGTCGCTCTATTTCAAGATTGCATCACTGTGCGGTTGAAGCTGACACCAGGACCTCAAGGTCTCACGTTGCAGTGTAAGACTGCATTCCCACAGATTTAGATCGATCCATCTGGATCGACCTAACTCCCTGGGGGTTCACGCTAAATTACTGTCAGCCGAGCACGCAAGGAAGTTAATAACCCCCTTACAGCTTTTAGTAGGCGGGACAGCCATTTAAGCCGGTTAAGCTGACAGTAACCTAGTTAGACTCCCCACGGGGATAGATCTAAAATCTGTGGGAATGCAGTCTAAGGTGAAGCACGAGAACTGGAATCATGTTTCACTTAAACCTCGCCAAAACATGTCTGTCAATTCCCATCATTCAGCTTGCCTCATACACTATCGGACTTTATGCAAACATATGAATTGTTGTGGGAACAGATTTCGGACACCTACAACAACTGAAAGTGGATATTCTCAACTGATTTTACTATGCATCCTATACGTATGTGTATCCCCATGCTTTGTATATGATTAAGTATGAAGAAACTCCGAGGTTTGGAAGACAGAGTATGAAAAAAAAGCGTTGAATGTTCTACTATGCATATCCAGGGATTTTTAGTGGTAGAAAAGGATGTCGGTTGTTGTTTACTGTTTAGAAAACGACAGCATTGCTCATTATACATTTTTACATCATGATGAATAGTATTTATGAATTCTAGCTAAGACACACCAAAAAGTATAATGGGTTCTCAACTCTAGTAAAAGTAGCTGTTATGCTTTATTCATTATCCTGTTACATCAGCGTGCTTACCTGAGTGTTTCGCATACAAAGGAAACAAGAGAGATTCAGATGCCTGAAGAACCCGAGGTGAAAATTTCTCAGACTCAACCCACAATACTGGATGACTTTGTGTCATTATTGCTATAATGATAAACTGCTAATTACATGTATTATTATCATTATTATTATTATTAGTAGTAGTAGAAGTAGTAGTAGTAGTAGTAGTACATGTAGTAATTAAGCACGTAACCGGTACCAGTGCAATTACATGTTAGTTGAAAAAAAAAACTTTAAAAATTCAAATATGCGTCATTAAAGACGCTTTGATACTTTTTTTAGATACTTCATTGTTTTAATGTTCTTTCATAGCTCTGGTACAAAGACCATCATTGCACCAGTCTGTGTTACTATACAGGGACGAAGGTCTTAAAATTGATAAATGTTTCTTTTTTTGAAAAATGGAATAAGTGGATATTGCACCAGGTTCGAGTTTCAAGCAACAGGAAATAGTCTATTTTAATATTGTTCAATTACGATTTAAATCGGCAGACTCTCTACTAATCAATGTGACAAATGTTTACTTCAGCAAAATATTAACCATTGAAGGTCATTGAAGGAAAACCTGATAATTGTCTGGTGTAATCTGCTACCATGTCGTTATCAAAGTTACTGCAGTCTCTAGAATTAGGTATTTTGCCAAAAAACAAATACGGGTAAAAATTAACACTCAGATTCTTAAAACATGATTGGTCCATACAGGGAAATACATTTTAATGAAAGGAAACTAATGTTAGTGTTTTGTATAAATATCAGTCTGTACATCCGTCTCACTGTGAAAGAACAGAGGTAACTCTTCTATCATCTGCACGGGGACCAAGTTCCTGCTGTCACCGAAAATGAAGTTCTTCTCTCTGGTGCTTTTGGTTGCTGTTGGAATTGCCTTCAGTGGTCTGGGCTCCGAAGCTCTCACACCAGACCAGATCATTAAAATTCTAATGGGCGGTGCTCCTCCCTACTGGAAAGTGTGCTTTGCTTTGGACAGCAGCGGCAGCATTAACAGAACTGAATGGAAACAGTCCAAATTTGCGGCCAGGGTGAGATAAAATCTGGCACTCGGCACTGTGCATTTTCTATACTTTTATTTTATTTCAACGTCAAGAATTTATATCAAATAACAAAAACAAATTTAGCTACAATAGACAGCTACAAACGGTAATGTTTATTCGATCTGATTACTTCGCATGATTAAGTTTGTCTGCAAAATGACAAAAAGACCAAAGTATGACTTTGGAAATATCATTGTTTAGACTAGACTGCTAAGTTGTCATTATATTTCAAATTTACGAAGACCTTTTTTTGAACATTTCTGAAATCCGTAACAAAACATTTGTTTTAAGTTGAAATGAATCTTGTATCAGGACATCCTTGCCATCATTAACTTCACCCCACGTCGGAATAGTATTGCACCCTGGAGACATAGGATTGGTTTGGTACGCTTCTCTAGTACGAACCCAACAAAGGTCATCTTTTCCATGGGGACCTACCCGTTCTACCCTGCCAATGATGCCGCTATTGCTGCCGTGCCGAAAGTTGGTAAGATCGATGCATTTGTAAATTCGTTCAGTGTTAATCAACAAATGCACTACACTCCATTGCCTTGGTCACATTCAGGGTCCATGTCAGCATTTAACAACTTTACAGTGTTACAAAGTATTTCCCTACGTCATAATGAAGTCTGCGACGTTAGTCACTGACATCTGTACCCACGGCCAGTAAAAGTCTAATTTGTCTGGCATGGACCAGCAGATTTTTCTAAAAGGTTTTTAAAAGAACATGCTTTGCTGAAATGTAGCTGCTATGATGATTCTGAAAAAAAAAGCCAATTTATTGAAATCCCATATTAGGACCGACAAATCCTGAATCAGACCAGAAGATTTTGGGAAAGTGGTGGTCCGAATGGCCAGTCAGCTGAAAAGTTTATGGCACAGACTGAATAGCATACTTGTGTATTTGTCAAAAATAGAATATTAAATATCAATTAAAACGTATAGTAGACATGTTTAGTAGAATTGTGAAGTTAACTTAAATGATACACTTTAAATTCCACTTTATTCACAGGTTATCTTACCAATATATATAAGGCTCTGGTGTTGTGTGATGGTCAGCTTGGCTTGTATGGCAAACGCATAGTCTGGATAATCACGGATGGACACTATAATGTCGGGGGTGACCCGAGACCCAGGGCAACGGCTATGAAGAGGAGAGGTATGTCCTACAGTGCTTTAAAGGCCAGATTGTCTATGACATAAAATGAATGATATAATTTCAAATTAAAAATTGGAGACAGTTTGGACAATATAGACTAATTTTGTGTTTTGTCTATTTTTAACTTTCTCTTTACTGCATATTATATGAACTTCTCTGTTCCCATTTCAGGAATTGTCATTTGTGTCGTTGCTATTGGACACGATGCTAACATGACTGTGATAAACGCCATGGCCTCGTGGATTAGATTCAGCTTTTTCCGTGTGAAATGTGTACTTAGATACCGTACCTACGCCGCCTACAGGTTGGCCACGTACGCTGCCCGGCTGAGGGTGCTGCCATAGGAACAACAGTCCTTGGTCTATAGACTGTTGCCTTAATCTGCAGACTGTAGAGTCTAGTTTATTTCCGATCACTCTTGGTAACTTGGTATCACATGCAGATAATACATTTTGATTGTTTTACTTATTTTGACTGATTCTGTCGTGACACAAAACCAGATAATTGCCACATTTATTGGAACGTCTTGATTTCATGCAACTAAAGTGTTTTCTCGGACAATATCTATATGTTAATGTGTTCAAAGCACATTTTGATATTTTTGAAAAGTAAGCTATTCCAACATGCAAACTGGTGTACAAAGAACATAAAAACTCCATTGTTTTGATATTATGTTTGTATTTGATAATAGTTATTGAAATGTATCAAAATTCAGAAAAAATAGTTTTTGACATTGCAAAAACCTTATTTTCGTGCAGAAAATTTGCACCAATTTGCACGGCAATTTGGTACTTCTAGATTGTAAACTATTACTACATTATGTGCATTCAGCGGAAATAAAAACACTTTCAAATGCTATTTTACTGCTTTGTTCTGTTCATTAATGTAAGTGATTTTAGGTATATGTACAACTATCTTAAAAAATGCAAGAGGGGTCACCTAAGGATCCTGAATTAACCGGTATATCGGACCACACTACCCGTTTTCAAGGTGTGTGTCAGATCGCATTTCGGAGTATCAGCCAGAACACCGACAGGATGAGTCCTGGCATGCTCGGCTGTCACCTTGATTGGATAGTAAACGATTGTCGTAAAATCGCTATATGATTTTAAAACCGGGTGCATAAATTTAAGAGCCACGTACCTAGATGCACCTTAGACTGCCACATTAATCTAATACAATGCAAAAAAGCCCTATCAAAAGTGGTTAAAACATTCAAACCGAATGTCGTAAAGTCCCCATATATCCCCATAGAGACAATAAAATGGAGTACTCTAAAGTAAGAGTACAGTTTAAGGTTGTTCAGCCGAGCGTGGATGAGCCCGCAGTCGTGCTACAAAATTTTTTCTGGGGTATGATACTCCGAAATGTGATCTGACACACACCTTGAAAAAGGGTAGCGTGGTCCGATATACCGGTTAATTCAGGATCCTTAGGTGCCGAGTCTGGTAGTTGGGTAGGCCTGTACATGTCATGTCATGGTTTGAAGATTTAGACTGGAACTTTTTTCCCTATCAATGTGGTAAGTTGCCTAGCCAATAGGAGCAGTCAAATTGACGCCTACTCTCTTGTGACCTTGACTGTTACTATCATAGGAAAGTTGGAAGAGCACATGTAAGTAGTGCTAAGCAACCAAGTCGGTTCCTTCAAAAATCTCAAGGTCAAATAAGCCTTATTACTGGCAATTTAGGCCTCCCCATTGGTTAAAAGGTATAAATTGTTTCTACAGGATAGAGATTTATAATTTTTAACTGACAACCACGAAAAATTGGCACATTTAGTGCGGTAAGCAGTCTTCAATAATTATTATATTAAATTTTTTTAAACAAAATGTATAAACATAAATTACACTCGCAATTATGGAAATGGTTTAAAATGATATTGTGGGACACCTTATAGACTAAGAGACCATTCCCAAGCCCTATTGTATTAACTGTGGATTGATCTCACTATCTCCCTATCTCATTAAATTGCAATTAACTTAAGCAGCTTACATGTCTGTCACACCTACTGAAGCTGCTAGGGAGTAATTAATTATCGTTTAGCAGCTTCAGTAGGTATGCCAGACATCTAAGCCGCTTAAGCTGAAAGCCATTTAACGAGAAACCCCTTGGAGGTGGATCGATCCTGTTAGATCGATCTAGGTATGGGAACCCAGTCAAAGACTGAATTCCATGCTGACGTCATGACATGGCTTCCTGATCTGGACAGGGGTCGTGCCATTGGCCATTACCTTTGGCAAAGTGTTATAACTTATAGTTTGGGCAGGCATAATTGGCAGTTTCTAGGCAGAATTGATGGTGATTATGCCATTCATACATCAACCCCTAATCCTACGTGTGCTTCAGTAGGATAATCCTATCTCCATACTGCCAGGAGAGCACAAGCAAACCAGAAGCAGAAGCAGATCCAGACTTTTCTTCTTTAGACCAGATATGTCCCCCATTGCGCATGCCTGGAACAAAAGGGGCAGATGACTTCATAACTGCCAGCCACAGCCTACCACGGTCATAGTGTTTATAGCTGCACTGGCGAAAGGATGGAGAAGGATGACGTATAAAACCATAGACATAACAAGACATACATTTTTTTTTTTTTTTGCTAGCATATATAGAAGTGTACAAGAAGACAAAAGCTCTGATGTGTACCGAAAATTGAAAAAGAATAGATACAGAAACCAAATCACCCTCAGTCCAATTCACCCACCAAAAACATCCCAGGGTACATTGTTGTGCTATGTGTGTGTGTGTGTCAATGCACCTTGTCAACCAAAAACAATATAACAGTACTTAAAAGTGTTCAGACAAATCCGTACTTTGGGGTCATTCTCTCTTCTGACCTGAAATGGTCGATTCACATTAATAACTTGTGTAAAAAAGCCAGCAGTTCATTAGGATTCATTAGAAGGAACCTACACTTTAGCCCAGCACTCACACGAAAGTAAGCATACATAGCCCTTGTCCATTCCACTTTGGATATCATATGGGACCCCTACTTACAATCGGATATGAACAAAATGGAATAAATTCATAGGAAGGCTGCACGTTTTATCACTGTGGATTATAAGTCACAGTCCCCAAATAGTGTTACCTCCATGTTAAAATCACTGGAACTCCCTCTGCTGCAGTACCGAGGAAGGAACTGCGGCTAACTTTTCTTTTCAAGGTGGTTGAGGGGTTGGTATCAGCAGTACCTTCTGATACTTATTTAATACCAGCTTCTGACAAGCGTCGTGTAAGGGCCAGATCATTCACTGACTTTGACACTGAAAACATTATAAATGGAATAAACAACAGTCGCTGTTACTGTTTGCAACACTGAAATACGCCAGTTAGAATTTTTTTTCTTTATCAGAACAGTCTTCCAAGTGGAACAAACTGAGTGACCAACAAGTTACAGTACAAACTGCAGAAGGCTTCAGATTAGGCTTACAGTGTGACTAACTTGTAAGCTTCCCATGCGCTCCCTCTTCCTGTCTATCATATACCAGTAGTGGTCCTTTAGACGTATATTGACAGATACAGATACTTCAGGATACTAAGCACTGCTCAAATTTTAAAATACTGTTGTGTTATAATTTCCACCTACATCACTGTGTAACACCAATTTTAAAATTTGTTGCCTATGGGTGCATTTCTCAGGTTGCCCGTCAGTCAAGCTCAACAGTTGACAAGTCAAACCATGTATGCCATTGGCTATAACAAGCTGTTCACAAGCATATTCAGGTAGAGGATCAATTGCAATTAGGTACAGCAGCTACCTGACTTGCCTTTTGGAAACGTTACACTGTCCTTTGGAATATGTGTTTAGCTGAAAACTATATAACTAGTGGAGGCATGCCAAGATATTCATGAAAAATTCTGACCAGTTTCCAAAAACCTGAGGACCCCTCCCCCTGGATCCCCTCCCCCTAATGGGATAGTTGTCATGCATTTGCACGTGTCAAGGCAATTTCAATTTGTGTCAGGTCTCCAGATCATATTACCAGCCATGTGATGGAAAAGCAATGTAATTCATATACACCAAAATGGCATTTGACTGGAATTTGGATTGCTATCAACCACTGTTGATCTCTTGTTCCTCAAAATGGTTTTTATAATAAAACCCACTTTCACCTGCAGGTACATAATTCAAACAGACATTTGTTTTAGTTTACGATTTTCACTCTGTACAAAATCTTACCAAATGCATTGNACCGTGGATGAGCCCGCAGTCGTGCTTCAAAATTTGTTCTGGGGTATGATACTCCGAAATGCGATCTGACACACACCTTGAAAACGGGTAGCGTGGTCCGATATACCGGTTAATTCAGGATCCTTAGGTGCCGAGTCTGGTAGTTGGGTAGGCCTGGAATAGGGGTTATGAATCCTCAAAGCATTGCTTTTCTGCTACAAACCGCTAAACCAGACAAGGACTGTCAGCAAGTGTTTTGTCATGGTGAAGCCATTTATTACACCTTAAGTCACTTCTTCCAAATGAAGTGATGTAATGATTGTGATTATAATGCTCGCTACAGGTACCATGCACTTTCTTGTCACACTGTAAAATGTGAGGTGAATCACGTTCTACGGTTTCATGAATAGTCACACTCAACCGTCGTCGTGACATTGATTTTCATTTCAGTGTGACAGTATGTGACAGAGTGAATGTTTCAATATTCAATTTACACTACATATACATTTTAACAATCTTTTAATCTTTTTAAATAGATCTTGAGGATCTATTACATATTGTCAACTGAAAGTGTCTTTTATATGCTGAATTTGCTATAAATCCTTCCATACTACTCTGTGCTTTGGAAAACAAAGTAACGCTTACTGTTGCGGGGTGAAGCATTACATGCTATACAATAATCACAGCGTTGAAGGTTATCATATGGGCATCTAGGGGTTTCTTGTAAAAAAAAAAGGATGTTGGTTGCTGTTTACTGCTTAAGAAAACGACAGAGTGGTTCATTATACATTAATATACTGGTACAATGTGGTACAAAGGCAATCACTGAATCTATATGGGCGTCTTTCCAGTTAACAGTACGAACGTCTTGAAATTGATTTTAATAATTAAAATGCTTTTTTAAGGTATCCGATGCACCTGTTCGCCCAGTAAAAAGTCTATTTACATATATTGTTTTTAAAGTGAAGTATTTAATTACAATTAAACGCGTTGGACCTTCCCATAATCTACAAGACAGGTGTTAACATGGGCAATGTTTCCCTTCAGCAAAATATCCACGTTTTTAAAGGGACACCTGGTGTAAACTACTAAAATATCGTTATCAGCATTACAATGGTCTATATATTCAGGTCTTTTCGACAGGAGAAACTCGTTTGTAAAAACAACATCCAGGACCTAATAAACGATTGGTTCATAGAGTGAAGTAAAATTTTATAAGTGGGCAGACATGATTTTGTATAAATATCTACTTGGAGGACCATTTCTCATTTTAACAACCTAAGTAACTCCTCAGCTATTCGTGGACAAAGTTCTTGCCTCCATTAAAGATGAGGTTAGTCGCGATGGTGTTGCTGGTTGCCGTTGGAATGGCCTTCCCTGGTGTGCCTTATGAGGAATTTACGCCAGACCTGATCATAAATTCTCTAATGTACACTCCCTGTGTCTATTGGAAAGTGATGTTCGCTTTGGACAGCAGCGGCAGCATTGACAGCAATGAATGGGCACTGTCCAAATTAGCGGCCAGGGTGAGTTACACTGGCTTTGTTCATTAACGTGGCACTCGGCAGTGTGCACTTTCTGTCCAATTATCTTCTTTTAACGTGAAGGTATAACTCGAAATAACCAAACGAATTGACAAACGATAGAATGCTAAATCGAATTTGTTATTCGACCTGATTACTTAAAAATCTGTCTGCAAAATTATAAAAAGATCAAAAAGACGTCGTTAAGACTAGACAACTCATTATTTTTCTAAATGGATCTTGTTTCAGGATATCCTTGCCATCATCAACTTCATACCACACCCAGGGAGTATTTATCCCAATGGACATGAGATTGGTCTGGTGCGCTTCTCTTGCACGGAACTGACAAAAGTCATCTTCTCCCTGGGTACTTACCCGTACTACCCTGCCAATGATGCCGCTATTGCTGCCGTGCCGAGAAACGGTACGGTCGACACGTTTATAATACCACTGTAGACTACGGACTTGTTATTGCCTTGGCCACAATCAATGTTTTGAGCATCATAGTATTTATGTCAAAGATATTTCGTTCTCAATATAACTTTAGAAGAAATGTGAAGATAACCCCACTAGAACCCGGTGAGTATAACCGTTCCACTTTATTCACAGGTACTGCTACGAATATGTACAAGGCCTTGAGGTTGTGTGATGGGCAGCTTGGTGATAGTGACAACCGCCTAGTTTGGATGACCACTGATGGACGCTATAATGAGGGGGGTGACCCGATCCCCATGGCAACTGCTATGAAGAAGAAAGGTATGTAGTAACGCTGCTTCAAGGACAGACTGTCTATTACGTTTAACAGTACAGAGGCACATTTTGTTCTTTATGTAATTTTAATACATATAATGTATATACCTTTGTCCCAATTTTAGAAATTATCATCTGTGTCATTGCTATTGGAGACGATGCCGACATGGATGTGATCAGCGCCATCGCCTCGTCGATAACAGTCATGAACACCTCTGTCGACGCTTTCTCTGTGAAATGTGTACTTAGATACAACACCTATGCCGAATACAAGTCTGCCACGTACGCTGCCCGACTTAGGGTGGTACCACCGGAACTTTCCTCCTTTGCCTAGTCTGTTATCTTAAAGTGCGAAGTATATATATACGTACATTTTAGTATGTATTTGATTTGACTTACTGATGCATTTCTGTACTGATACAAAACTGGACGTCTGCTGCCTTAATTTGAACGTTTTCATGCAGTTAAAATTTCTTTTGCCAATGATTATGTTACACAATCTAGCATGTGTTTGAGTAGTTCTGAAAAGTGAGATGTCACAACATGCAAATTGATTAAAAGAGAATATGAAAAAATATTACATACATTTACACGAAAGATTTTTGTGGCAAGAATGAGGTGTGATCATTCTGTAAATTTAAATCTTTATATATCTACTCCTATATTTTGTACAATCAGTGAAAATAAACTATTCCAAATGCAGTTTCATTGTACTTTTTATTACTATATTCGCGTGCTTCTCAATATATGAAAACCAAGCATCTTGAACAATTTAATTCTTCTAGTCATATGTAGCTGTTCTATTGCGATGACCTTTATCTGCTGTGCACAGTTCTAACGGACTAGGCATTTCACCTGAAACCGACATGGTATATCCCTAGGGCTAAAAAAAGTTCAAACAGGAATGTGTGTTTCTCTGTCAAGTCCATTGGAACTTTTCTATTTAGGGCTCACATAACCTCCCCCCCCCCCCAAAAAAAAAAAAGTAAAAAAATAAATAAATGAATAATAAAATGCAAAACTAAACGCTGCAACCTGATTGTAGTTCACACCCTTGTCGTCAACCAATTTTCCAATTTTCATGATAATATCTTGCTTACTTTGTTAAAGAGTTGCTTTGGAAACCGATCACTATTTAGCACCAATTTACAATCTTCCCACAGATGTTCAAAAAGGTTAGTATCAGGGCCCAACGATGGTTGTTCCATCCCCAAAACATTGTGTTTCTGCAACAAGACTCTCACCAAACGAGGACTGTGAGCAAGTGTGTTGTCATGGTGCAGCATATTGTTACCACTTTAGTCACTTCTTTCGAATGAAGTGATATAATATTTGTGATTATAATAGTTTTCCCAGGTGCCAAGCACAATTATCATATCACCGACACTTCAAGGTCTCTGGGGTACGCGCAGTGTATACTGTGAGGTGAAGCACGTTCCAATGTTTCATGTATACGCGGCGCTGATATGGAGTCACAATCAACAGTTGCCGGGACATGGATGTCCACTTTCATCATATACCCCTTACAGTTTGTTACACAGTGGTCGTTGCAATATTCAATATACACTTCATATACAATGTAATATAATTTTAAAATATATATCTTGGGGACTTATTACATGTTTTCGACTGAAAGTGGATATTCGCAGCTGAATTTGCTACGAATCCTTTCATATGTACATGTGTTTAGCCTATTCTTTGTATAAGACTTATAGACAAATTTTAAATAATACTCTGAGCTTTGGAAGACAAAGTAGGATTACTGTGGCGGCGTAACGCATTACGTGGCATACAATAATCACAGCGTTGAAGGTTACCATATGCACATCCAGGGGTTTCTTTAAAAAAAAGGATGATGGTTGCTGTTTACTGCTTAAGAAAACGACAGTGTGGTTCATTATGCATTAATATATCACAATAAGTGGTATTTATGAATTCTAGCAAAAACCCATCAATCACGTTTCATGGGACCAAAATTCTATTAACAATATCTATTTTCAGACACGTTTGTTTAATTCATGACACTGTTACGTAATCGAGTGCTTACCTGAGTGTTTTGTTTGCATAGTAGGAAAAGTGAGAAATTTATAGACATGATTGAAGAACCTGTTGTGAAGATTTCTCAATAACAACAACACAGAACTTGGTGATGTAGTGTAATAGTGTTATAATAATAATAATAATAATAATAATAATAATAATAATAATAATAAACTATCGGTGGTCAATCACAAATTGTTACCATCATAAAAGGTGTAAAGCATATGTTGTTTGTTTATTTTATTATGTTCGGAATTAAAAACTCCCCAAAACTTGAAAACAGAATAATTCGTTGGTTTAATATTCTATCCATATCACAACGGTACAGTATGGCACAAAGGCAATCACTGAATCTATCTGGGCGTCTTTCCAGTTACCAGTACGAACGTCTTAAAATTGATTAAAGCTTTTTTAAGGGGAAACAAGATGCACCAGGTTCGCCTAACAAGCACTAGTAAATAGTCTATTTAAATATTGTTTTTAAGGCGAAGTATTTAATTACAATTCAAATCGGCAGACTTTCCACTAATCTACGTGACAGGTGGTAACAGGAGCAATGTTTTCTTTACCAAAATATCCATGCCTTATAGGAACACCTGATATTTGCCTGGTAAAAAAATGTCGTTATCAGCATTACAATGGTCAGGAAGCCGGTCTTTTTGACAGAAGAATCCCACTTTTTAAAAACAACATCCAGGGCCTAATAAACGATTGGTCCATACACGGAAATAAAATGTAATAAATGGAAAGTCATCTTNATAGGAACACCTGATATTTGCCTGGTAAAAAAATGTCGTCATCAGCATTACAATGGTCAGGAAGCCGGTCTTTTTGACAGAAGAATCCCACTTTTTAAAAACAACATCCAGGGCCTAATAAACGATTGGTCCATACACGGAAATAAAATGTAATAAATGGTAAGTCATCATCATGGTTTGTATAAATATCTGTTTGGACGTCCTTCTTTCATTTAAACGCCATTGGAAGCTTCTCTCCGACTGTCAGCTCGTGGACCAAATTCTTACCGTCTCTGAAGATGAAGTTAGCCGCGCTGGTGCTGCTGGTTGCTGTTGGAATGGCCCTCAATGAGCAAAACTCCGAGGCTCTCACACCAGACCAGATCATCAAAAGTCTGATGGGCAGTCGTCCGTACTGGAAAGTGATGTATGCTTTGGACAGCAGCGGCAGCATTGACAGCACTGAATGGACACAGTCCAAATCAGCGGCCAGGGTGAGATACATTGGCTTGGGTCATTAACGTGACACTAGGCACTGTGAATTTCTTTCGTATCATTTTCTTTTAAAAGTAGGTATAATTATAACAAAAACGAATTAATATACAGTAAACGTGTTATACAGGGGATGTTTATTCAATCTGATTACTTATGATGTTGCAAATGATAAAAAGATCGAAGTGACAGTGTTAAGACTTAACAACAGCTATAATTTCAATTTAAAAAATTATGGAAACTGATATAAAACATTTGAAATATGTTCAAATTAATTATTTGTGCCAGGATATCCTTGCCATCATCAATTACATCCCTCATCCTAATAGTATTGTCCCTAGTGGACATAAGATTGGTCTGGTACGGTTCTCTAGCACAACACCGACAACGGTCATCTTCTCCCTGGGGACCTACCCGTACTACCCAGCCAATGATGCCGCTATTGCTGCCGTGCCTAAAGTTGGTAAGGTCGACACTGTCAAATCAATGTACCTCATCACATGTACTACGCTGTGGACTTGTTATTGCCTTTGTCACAGTCAAGGTTTCCAATATAATGACATTTTTGTCAAATGTGTAATATTATAAATATAAATTTAGAAGAAATTTGGAGCTAATCCCACTGAGCACAGCCATTCCACTATATTCGCAGGTCATCTTACAAATATGAACAAGGCTTTGGCGTTGTGTGAGCGTCAGCTTGGTCTCAATGGCCGCCGCTTAGTCTGGATGACCACTGATGGTTACTATAACGAGGGGGGTGACCCGAGGCCCAGAGCAACGGCTATGAAGAGAACAGGTATGCTCTACCACTACTTTGAGGACTGATTGTCTGTTGCATATTTAAATGAATTATATCGTTTAACAGGGAAACTGCAAGAAAGTTGGGACAACAGAGACCAATGTTGTCCTTTGTTTGGTCTTAATCCATGTATAAACCACATTTTTCCCTTTCCAGGAACGGTTATTTGTGTCGTTGCTATTGGCACAAACCCCAACATGGCCGTAATCAACGCCATTGCGTCGTGGATCACCTCCTTTGACTTCGATAAGTGTGTGAAATGTGTCCTTACATACGACACCTATGAGGCGTACTGGTCCGCCACGTATGCTGCCAAACTGAGGGTGGTGGTACCAGAGGCTCAACCCGCCTTGACCTAATCTGTTATCCTTATCTGCACATAGGATGAGAAAGCGCGGAGTATTTTTCCGTTCATTTTAGTACCGCGTGCTATGAATTTGTTTTGACTTTCTGTACAGATCAAAACTGAACATCTGCCTTCTTTATTTGAACAATTTCACTGCATGCAGTGAAAATGAATTCTCTGTCAATGATTATGTTATACAATGTATTATGTATTTGTGTAGTTCTGAAAAGTAAGATATCTCAACACGCAAAGTGATGGAAAAAATAGATGAAAAACACTACTACCACCTTATTACCTTGAAGATTTTTTGTGCTAATATTGTGATGGGATACTTCCCACTAAATTTAATGCTAAAAGATCATCATCTACTACTATGTATTTGTACAGATACTGGATATAAACTTCCCCAAATGCTATTTCATTGGACTTTTTTGTTTTAACAAAATTAATAAATAAATTGAATAAAATTTATTTGGCTGCTTCTTAATATATGACAACCAAGCATCTTGAACAATTCGATTCAATTCTCCTAGTAACTTGTAGCTGTTCTGTTGCGATGCCCTAGTGACCTTTAACTGTTGTACATGTAATTCCCAACTTTTGAAAAGGGAACGTTCTTATGGACTGAATAATTCATCTGGAATTGATATGTCATATCTCTAGGACAAAACAAGTTCAAAGTGGAGCGTTTATCTCTACCAAGTACAAGGGGCTCATATACCCCTTCTCCTACTTAAACTTAAGTGAGGCAATTAAGAAGGAGCAGAACGTGTTCGTTGAACCGACTAATTTGGGTGTCCGATAGCGATAACTTGCCGATTCCCCTACCCTGTAATTATCATGCGGCCTCTATTGTTCGACCATACGGGGCAGGGTTGGGAGACCATGTGGCCTTTTGGTAAGGGGAATTTCTGGCGGCACTGTACCAAGGGGCTCATATATTCCTCCCCCCTCCCCAAAAAAAAAAAAAAAAAAAAAAAAAAAAAAAAAAAAAAAAAAAAAAAAAATTAATGAATAAAATGCTTGAACCTGATTTCATACTCTTGTCGTCAACCATGCCAATTTTCAAGATAATATCTTACTTAGGCCTACCTAGTGAAAAAGTTACGTTAGAAACCGATCATGCATTCCTAACGCCACTTTACAAAACGGCAAAATTGAAGATACTGTATATTGCTACCCTATGTACACCCTATGCCGGGTTGTGAATATTTAACAATAAAAGGGGTTCACTCCGTAAGTAATTATTTCTAGCGTAGTAGAAAGAATAGGAGACGATAGAAAATCTTTTTTTTTCTGAAATCGAGACCTTTGTAACGTGCCGATCCCTCCCTTAAAATTTCAAAAAAAAAAAAAAAAAAAAAGAAAATAGTGAGAAAAAGTTGATGAAATATCAAGATATATTTAACTTCTTATAACAATTCATATTTTGTAAACTTACAGACGTTCTTTTAGAAAAAAAGAAATTTAAATACATTTTGTAGGCCCTTTCAAAGACCACTGCAGGGGTAAAGTTGGTATTTGGACACCCATATTATAATATGATTATTTTCGTAAATAAAAATATGGAACGCTTCACGAATGTGCGTGTCATCCTTGCGCCAGGGGCCATGCTAATCTTCTCTGTATCGTTCCAATTTTAGTATATGTCCCACCGTAGTGAAGACACTTATTCAGGTTACTTTCTGTCAATTTTTAGTCGTGAAAGACAAGATGGCGACTCAGGTGAGTTCTTCTCCCTTAATTACAGGGGGCATATACTTCGCTTACATATCTGGTAACACCAGAAAACAAAGACAATTCCTTATCCATGTTACTTAACGAGTTTTAAATAAAAATTTAAATATATGTCACTAAACATAATTATTTTCTTTTATCTGTTTTAGCATTACAGTTCCTTTTAGAAATCAATACCTAGGCAATTTCTATATATAGCATACGTACGCGCATGGGTGCTGCCATCTGACGGTTTAAGTTGGTGACAATAACAAACCGTATTTCTGTTGGTAAAATAAATAGAAAAGGTTGCGCTTATGCCTGAATTCGACCAAAAGGTGCACTCCTGTCGGGAAAAGGTGACAGTAATTGATGTTGCTCTACTGAGTTGAAAATGCGCGAAACACGACCTAAAATTAATTTAACGCAGTGCATATGTAAATTAATTAGATTATTAATTTTTCAGTAAGAATGACACTAGGCCTAGGCAGCTCACTTCTCATAATTACAAGTTATGTATAATCAGTTAGCTAATCTATTAATTATTTAGCTCAGTAAACATTGTTATTAATAAATTAACTAATTAATTTAATAATAAATTCTTATTGTAAAAAACTGATGAATTTAATCAATCTAATTCTAGCTATCTTACTCCCTTTGTAGCTTAACTTATTATTTTTTTGGCTTGTAACTGTTTTTTCCCTAAAATAATTTAATAGTGATTGACTGCGATAAAGCATGAATCTATTTAACGTGAATTTCTGGCACTGTAATCATTTAACTTGTCCTTCCTCCAATATGTAAAGAGCAGTTCACCCAAACGAGGCCAGAGAATAGAATTTATGATGTCAGTGGTCTAAAAATAGATGCTTATTGTTAACAGGGCATTGACTATTTAACAACCTGAGTGACGCTTGAGATCAGTGACGCAAGAAAAGCTATTTTTGACAATTTCGTGACTAACTTAATCTAATTTTAACATCAAAATAACGACCCAGGAATTGCAGCATGGTGAATTCTAAGGCATTATTGACAAATAATTGACACTGGAACAGTGATATTGAATTTTAACTTTAAGAACCAAGATTAGCATCAGCAAGAAGCCAGTACTCGACATCAGTCGAACGTTTTATTCGTCTGAGAGACAAGTAAACCGATCAACATGGTGTTTATGGAGTGGGTTACCCTTGATGTTGGAGAACAGGTGAACATAGCATATATAACACTGAATATTATGATATACTGGCTGCTACATATAAAATAGCATATAATTATGAAAATGCAGAATTATGCCAACAATTCATATTTTAATGCCTAATTGATTACTTATGAGGGATAATTTAATCGTGATAATAATGACTAAATAATGTAAAAGAAAGAAGTAAACTACTAAATTATAATTCGAACCTATATAGATATTGTACAGTACATATTTTGATTTGTAATTAATTAACACAGTTTAAACTGAAAAAACAATCTTTAAAGTCTAGCTAATACATATATTGCATATGTTCCAGGCACTGGTGTATGATATCCATGGCACAGCAAGAATAGAAGAAGGTCCCCAAAGAGTAGGTCACTTTGTAGACATTGGAATGGGATATTGATGAAATATATCGATTAATTAAGAGTGTGTTCATGCAGGTATGACTGTACGTGCACATGCGTGCGTGAATGCATGTGGGCACTCTTTGAAATTAACGGCACTGTCAATGAAATAACATGGCCTATATACATGATGCATGATACGTGGAATCAGAAAATCAGAGTCATAGTTTTAAGCTAGGTTAGTTCCATCAGTTCTAGATAGCTTTATATTATGGATAACTATTCCCCTGGATAACCCTATTCACTGTTGATAAAATATTCTGATAACCACTGTATAAGCTGCCCAGATGATTAATTATCTCGATCTGTACCAGAGGCCCATCTGGCTGTTACAAAAAATGAGATGAGAGCACCAGAGGTGAGCAGCAGTATTTAAGGAGGCTCTCTCACATATATTAGCTATCCATGCAGTGTTGATGAAACCTAGCCCAGGCTTACTACAAATAGTAGCTGATATATATATATAATATGCCACAATCTAAACAAGCCATATGACATTTTGTTCCAATTATGATTGAAGCATTTCATTCATGACAGATACAATATTATTAATATTATTTGTCTAAAGAGAAAAAAAAACATCATTTACTAGTAACTATAAATGGTGTATAACATTTTAAAGCTAAAATTTATCAAAGAACCAACATGCATAGATTTTGCCCGACAAGTTTTGAAGTAATTGTAGGTGAGTTTGTAGTTTAGCTATAGTCATCATATTTTAGCATTTGTTCTGATTTCCCCTCTTTTAAGATAATTTCTTCTTTTACACATTTTCCTCCACTAAATCAACACTTTGTTTGTTTTTTTTTTTTTAGATATTTCTCTTCAGAGAGAAGTTTACCTTGCTGAGGAGGTTTTCTGCAGATCAGAATCATTACCTCATTATCCAGTATAAAGATGGCAGAGTGGAGCACAAACCTGGGTAAGAAATCATTTTATTACTAATATATCGACCTAATTAAGGGGTCAGATTTAGTGAGGAAAAAAATGATCAAAAGTATTGCTTTTCTTCATATAAGTTCAGTAAGCAGTGATTTACATATTCCACTTTAAGTGTGTTAAAAATCTTACACTTTATCACTGAAAGTGAGCATCAACTTGTTGCAATGGCTTGGCCATACTAAAGACCAGTGTCCATGTGAAACCTAGTTATAATTTTCAAATGCTTTTAACTTATTGAGAACAAAATGCTTCTTTCTTGGTTTCTGAAAAAGAGAGTCTCAAACAGGTTTGCATGTCGCAGGGATATGAAGGTGGAGTCTGATATGCTAATCATATGTAAATGATATGCTAATTTCAGCCCTTGCTGGTTGTTCAGAAACCCCATGTGTCACAGTGATATCAAGGTGCGTTCTGGGATTTCTCTGGATGCTAACGAGTTGGTGGTGGTGTACAAATACAGCGCAGACACAAAACAAGTTGGACGATATCTGCAGCATGGTCCTTGTGTGTTCATACCCAAGGCCAATGAATGGTAAGGAATGGATTAAACAGTGGCAAATTCAGGATTTCTTGAAGGAGAGGGATAGGTTTACATTTTTAAAACATCTTATCCCCACCCCATCTTAATTTCCTTCCTGGGGAGAAATTCATTAGAAATGGTGCAATTTATGTTTTTTTTTTTACCTTCATTTCTTTTTTTTACAACATGTACATTTTCATCAAAAACCAAAATTTTTAGTTTCTCTATGCTGAAGAAAATGGGATATTTCAAATATTCCTCATTTGAATATTTCAATTTTATTTTTTGTAAGTAATAAAATAATAAGTTTAGGCCATAACTGCTGTAATGGTTCAAAGTTTGTTGTTATTATGGAGTTTGATTTATGTATGAAATTGCCATGTTTATATTAAGTTTGTCAGGTTGCATGAATTGTGTTGACACAGAGCTTTGTTGTTAAGAAATTACCATTTTTACATTTATACAGGTTGCATGAATTCTGCTGGCATGGGACTGACCCAGATAACAAGACAAGAAAAATTCCCAAAAGTTTGAAATTTACCAAACTGCAGGTGATCCCTGACCAGTTCTATTATAATGTAAGTACTGATTAATTGCAAGATTGTGTATAAGTATCTGTTTTGTCTCAAAGGTACACTATCTGCATTTGAAATGTCCCAAAGATATGTTGGCTCATTCTACATATTCTTAAAAGCTACTTAGAACTAAATTACTGAATCAGAAAGGGTGTAAAACATCAAATCCTTGTGCAGGGATGAGTTGAGCAATTTCTTTTGAGTAGGAGAGATAAATATTGCATCCCCCCTCCCTTGGAAAATTAGATTTGGTAGGGAAAATTCAGAATAGGCTATCTTTTTAATATTTAGAGTAATGTCTTTTTTCAGGTGGATGAAGTCCGTACAGCTGACCATGCAGTGATGAGGGTTAAACTGATGATGTTTTACGAACTCACAGATATTGAACTCATGGTATGCACAAGTCTTTTGTACAGAAGGGCATTTTTTATGTACAGGCAGTTATCCTGTACAGTGTCATGATTACCATTTAGAGTTATACATGGGAATGTGCCAGGAGTTTAAAAGTATATGATTAATAGAGCATTCTCTTCAGATACTCTACTATAATATATATTCAACATTTGAGAACATGAAATTCAAAACTAAATTACCATAGTAGAAGTTAAACATCAGTGATGTTTTTGTTCTTTAAATTATATAATATAATTTTTTTTTACTTATGTTATAGTTAACATCAACTATGGACCCAATGGCAGATTTTATAAAGTAAGTGGATGGTGATAAATTTCAATATATCTTTATCTTTTCTCTCTAGAATGTTTTTCAGTCATGTTGGGTCCTTCAAACAATTGATGAATTGTACCTTACAAATATTCTCAATTTGAAAGGAAAGCAATTATAAATTAATATGTAAAACTGTAAATAAAATATATTTCTTTTTTTTCAGTTGTCTTTGTGCTGATGTTGTGGCCTTTGCTGCAAAACTTACGTAAGTATGCCGTTTTTTCTCTTTAGACTTCAACTCGTGTTAGGTAGAAGGTTTGATTTCAGTTAAAGAAGTTTTATCAGTCATGTTTTTTCCTGAAGTAACCTTCTCACTTACTTATTTAGCAGCCTCTCTTACCGTTAACATGAAAATACAAAATAGTTGGGTGTGACCAATCAATGTTACTAAGGTTGTATTCCCAGAGCTTTTAGATCGATCTATCCCGGCGGGGAGTCTCACTAGATTACTGTCAGATAATCCGGCTTAAATGTCCGTCCCGCCTACTACAAGCTGTAGGGGGGGTAATTAACTTTCGTGTCCACTCGGCTGACAGCTATTTAGCGTGAACCCCCAGGGAGTTTGGTCGATCTAAAGTAGATTGATCTAATCTCTGGAAATGGGGTCTTATACTTCATGGAGTTGGTCTTAGAATGTGTTTGCATTCAGCTGTATTTTAGCCCATTTTCAATCCAAGTTTGTTCTGTGTGTGGACACACTCTTACTGCTGTATACTGTGTTGGTAAATGTTTTCATGTCTCCAATCTCGTTCATAGGTATATGGAATTTGTTGAAAAATCCAACGAGTTGAACAATTTATCGTCGTACCCTCGCCTTCTGGAACGCTGCAAAGCTATTGGTTACTCCGTCTCCAAGGTGGTCTACAGGGGTTACTTCGCCTGGGACAAGCTACAGGTTCTTCATGACAGCTCTGTGGAGAAGAGAACTAGACTCAAAATACAGGTATCTACTATCTTTGTCTTGAATTCTTCATGATTCTTTTTTTGTCACATATCAAAAGTTTTTTGTGCGGGATGGTGAATTTACAAGAAGTTTTTAAAGTCTGTTTTACAGAGGGAAATACTCTATTATAACTTATATTTGGATAGCATGTTCTACACTTTTTTGCTTTATTTACTATTGTTTTCTTGATTTTTTTTAGATTTTAACTTATCAAATGTTTTTATCCATGTAGTTTATCTTAAACATTTCAATTTGTTTGTGTTTTAACGTTTTAAATGTGACACATCACATGACAGTGATACATAACTGCAATGAAGTTTAAAAATTGCAGCAACATTTAATAGCAGCTATTATGCTCATTTACCTTTTACGTGCCTGCGTAATGTTTATTGACTTTTTTAATTTTTTGTAGTTTGAAACAGAAGAACAAAACCAAAACATGGTGGATGCAACATTGAAGGCAGAAATGGAGAGAGCAGAACTAGGTATATTGATTTTAATTTATGGTTTTCTTTAGAAAGCAGACATTAACTTCCTCTGATTTTAATTTTGATGTTTGCCCATGCACCCTCTGTCCAAATTAAGTGTTTGGTCCCATAATAAATGACTATGTTCAGAAGCCGTTTAAATGAAGACCCATGTCTAAGAAGGCTACACAAATCTTATAAAAGGTACAGTAACAGTTGTTTTATGTGCCAACCAACGTGCCAGTCATATGTGCCAACTAATGATTCTTTTAAAAATATTAAGATTATATTATTAATACACAAACGTTTCACTTCAGAACAAAAGATGGCACTTGAGAAACTGGTACATGACCAAACAATGGAAAGGTAAGTCATTTTTATTTAATAATAATAATAATAATAATAATAATTTTGTTTGTAAAACTTCTACAAAACATAATCAGATTGACATTGTACACTGAAGGCATTTCTATTGGAAACTTGCCTCTTGTAACCAGCAGTTTAACTACTCTATGTCACAATGTTCACTATCTGTGTGTGCTCGTTTGTAACTCAAAGTACACAAAGTTTGGTGGTGCATGACGATTCGATTGATGCTATTTAATTAGATTTAGACATGATAATTATTGTGAGATTTGGCATAATGAGTTATGTGTACTTTGACAAGATATCATATGATAATGTACAAACTTATTTTCAGGTATGTATGTTTGTATTCAATTTCAACAAATCTCTTTTAATTTTCATTTTTATGTCTTTTTTATCAGACTGCAGCTGGAACATCAGCTGAAGCTGGATGTGAAAAGTAAACAAGAAAGCACAAAACAAATGCAAAGAGAACAGATGGCCAAACTACAGGTACAGTAGATACCAAAAAAGTCTTATCCATTTATTTTAGGTAGTTAAAAGCAAGATGCTGATCATGCTCTCCCAGATAACAGTTTGTTATCAACTTCTATTTAGGTTATTAGCTATCACCTAGTCGCTAGTCTAGACTGCTATATAAAAGATGGTAAAAAGTGGGTTGTTTCAAGCTCTTTTTGAATTACACCCCCCCCTCCCAAAAAAAAAAAAAAAAAAAAAAAAAAATCAAGCAAACAAATAAACATAAATATTATAGAATTCAATTTGCTATCCTTTTTCCTATTACTAGGCTCGGTGCTCCACAGATGAAGAAAAACTGAAGCATTTCAGAGAACTCAAGGCCTTGGACATTCAGATGACCGATTACTTGGTGGCCCAAAACCCTCGTCCAGGCAAAGTTGTCGTCGTAAAATCAGACCCCACAGCACCTGCCAATCTTCACCTGCATCACAACTAACTATAAGTACAGTTTATGAAAAATACTCAATGAGGATGATTTTTGAAGAGGGGCATCTCAGTATTCCTATCAATTCCAAGCTGAAAAGGAAAACAAATTGGTCATCTTATAAGGCAATACTTTAGACACTGAAAATATAAGACAATTCTCAAACATTGATAAAAAAATAGTAACATTTCAACATAAAGACAGGTAAAGTTTTTTCCTTCTATCCACAGTTTTTGAAAGTTCTTACCTTACAGTAAATCACTGGGCTTCAGATTTTGAAAGGGATCTGAAGACATTAATACAGAACTGAATACATTTCATATAAGGCAGCAATGGCTAAACAGACAGTATTTAGTTGCATGTTCAGACAACTTTGCATTAGATAAGGTCTAACAGCAAAATGTCATGCTTGCAAGAACCTACCACGGGTATTTCACAACAGATTACATGTCTGAGGTTCTGGAAATTCTCTACATAATAACATTCTGAAATATGCTCAAAAATAAATATAATGTCCTGGAGAGTCTCTGCATAATAATTTTATTTAAATGGTCTAATATGTAAATGTCAAGTATTAATGGGTAGTGGCCTTGGGCTCACATAGCTCCTGATGGCAAATCTACTATTGACTGAATGATAACAGTATTATACAACCTTCCTTTGGAAGTTGTTCTTCATATATGTGTAAAAAATCATTTTATTTACTTATATTTATTGTAAAAATGACTCAACTTGCTATGCAGTAGACAACCTTATTTGAGCCTCTGTCTTTTTTATTTTCAATCAAAATGAAAAGGGTGATAGTGCAGGAATAATACCAAATATTAGTATATAAACTGTTTGATAAGCTAATGTCAAGCTGTGCATTCAAACAAAGAATGACGTTTTAGGATTTAGTTGATATGATATTGATGCCAAAAAAAGCAAGACAAAACTACCTTTACATAAGGTCCATGTTCGTACTTACTTAAGTGGGGAGTTAATTTAGTTCCCATAATTATATTTTGTGAATTTTCTTTTGTAATTTGTGTATAAGATAAAATATCATTATTTTGTAATTTCTAATTTGTGATGTGATGCAAGATATTTTGCCTTATTATATGATAATTGTATTGCAACTTTTTGTGGCTCTTCTACTGTGTGTCCACACTTTGTTTGATTTGTTAGAATGTTAACTGTGTGACAATTTTATGTGTTCAGCCCTAGTTTTAAGAAAAAAAAAAAAACATTTTGTGTTATACATTTGTACATGGTGCATTTTTATCTTGCTGGTCAAGGTAATATGCTTGAAATTATTTTTGTTTATGTGTATATGCAAATTATATTTATGTAATTATATATTGTTCAGTTAAAAAACAACAACAATGGACAGTTTTGTTAAGAAATTATCGTGTTATATAGGTAGGATTCATACCAATTTGTTGTTTTTAGATAATATAAACTTGTTTTTAAATTACTTACATTTTAATGAATTAATGAATTACTTTGTTGTGATAAAATGTACTGAACCAGTAGACAAAGTGTCATCATTTGATTCTGAAATAAAGTTTTTGTACATTCAAGCAAAGATTTTTTTTGACTCGGCGTGAACCTGATAAAAAGAAATCTCACAACTGCTTGATCCAATGTTTTTCTGAGGGGTTGGGATATAGTGTTAGGAGTTAAAAAAATGTCTTTTTGATAATTTGCATGCCTTGGTTTAAGTGTAAATTTCAGAATTACTAAACACGTCAATCATTTTTGTGCAGTGTAAAGGTTTCTCAATGTGGATGAAGACAAAGGGGCATTTAATAATTAAGCTAAACATATCATGTGACAGTACTCCCATTTCTCCAGAAGATCATTTAAAAGCTGATAAGAAATTGATACATAAATATGCAATGCATTTTGCACGTGGACTGTTAAGCATATTTTGGGTGCTTGGTGTTCCTTATCTCGACGTTCTTGTCTATCCACAGCAAGGTGACAGAATAACAGTTACACAAATAACATTTTCAAGATTTTATTTCATATTTCAAATTAAAATTGATAAATAACAACTACAAGAAATAACATAAGGGGGGTTGCACCCTGAATTCCATCCTTCAGTTCTTGAAACCCCCCTCTATAATCAGTGGCCTGCCCAGTAGGGTTCCAGAGATGTACAGGGTGTGCTGTACAGTGATAAATCACTGTTTATTCTCTCAAGTTGGGACATAAGTATATGTTACACTTACATGATTTAAGGATTGTAATAGTTAATGGCTGTTATATACATAATAATTAATTCATACCACAAACCATGAATATACTACCAACAAGAGGTTATAAATACTGGACAATACAAACCCAAACGTATAAAGATAAAGGCAGATATATACTAGTGTAAACATTCCACTGAAAAGGACTACGAGTTTGTTTGAATTACCCCCCCCCCCCCCTCTAAATTTCTTTCTGGGGTCCTGACTTCATCATTTCAATTAATTCTTAACTGCACCAAAACCAGTTTTCTAGATTATTTTAATTTAATAATCACAAGACACGTCTGTCTTGAGAAAAAAGCATAATTTTTGTCTTTATCTGGTAATCCAGGATCTACAAATTCTTGAAAAATGTTCGACTTTCTTCATTAATATGTACCTTCTCCATGTGTGAATGTCCACTTGGGTTCTATACATAGGACATGGCCCCCGCAGGGTATTTATCAAAAAATTTCGAACACTAACATCTTATACTTCCAAGACTAATCACTACAGGTATGCTATATAAAATAAAAGATGAAAAAATGACGAACAAAAAATGAATACAATTAAATGAAAAAAAAAATAATAATAATAAAAAGATATATGTCAAGATCCCAACCCTACTTGTTATTTGGAACTTTCAAGTAATTGTTCTTATATATCACAAAAAGTTTTGGGAAATGTCACAGATTAATTTTATAAGAAATTTTGTGAGTTTTTAGTACAACCTACCACCATTTGTATTTTAAATCCTTAAAGTGGCATGATTTTGAAAATGTGTAAAATCCACATGCTTGATGATATGTGCTAGTATACACACCGCATGTCAGGCAGAATTCAAAATAAAGACCTTTCAGTGCTGGGCTGCTAACGGATCAATTACGTTTTTGAGGTCAAATTGATACAGTACCCAATGTATGGACGCCTTAGATTTAGCAGTAGGAATCTCGAACTTTTTGGCAATTACTGGTGTCATAAACCTGTCCAGTGGCATAGCCTAAATAGTACATTAGACAGCATTCACAACAAAGTTGATCCGCAGACTAACTAGTCTGCATATCAAATATGGCGGGCACTTGACAATGGAGTCCCATCCTCCCACGTCCACCATTCCAGCGGGGGCAGAGCAATTAAATCTCAGCACGTTTTCAAGTGGGTGGTGCCATATTTGATCCGCAGATCTGTTAGTTCACGGATCAAGTTGTTTTGAATGTGCCCTTTGATGATAAATGTGAAGTTTGATTGTATCAGCTGTAATTGTGGTCCTCTGTGTATCATGATGCCAATCCAAGTAGAAATCCTCCTGCAAATCCGCCCGCCAGATATATGTTATTACGGAAGAACTGGTTGGCCTGCAAAAGAAACAAATGAAAAAGAGATTGCTCTCATCAAAATTACTTTTGAATCAGTTAAATAAAACCATGCAATGGAAAATTTGACATCTGAGAACATGACAAGTTACCTTAGTAGTAGTAGTAGTAGTAGTAGTAGTAGTTGTGAACATTTTTTTTCACCATACTGGGATCATATCTGTGGGTTTGGGGGAAAAGTGAGGGATGAAGAACCAATTTAAGACTTCCCCTAAGTAGTTAGACAGCTAGAGAGGATGGAGAGGAGGGAGAGAGAGATCACAGATATTATAAGTTATTACTAATACAAATAACGATATGCTTGTGAATTTGGCAAAGCACTTGTAAAGAGCAGAAATATGCAAGCACTGATCAGGTTGTAGATGAATGTGTATTCTACTTCAAAACAATACTCACATCTAGTGAAGTTTTAGCGAAAGTTACCACTTATTCTGGAACAAAAATAACTACAATTTGCTCTTGTCACAAGAGCATCATCAGAATGCCTACAGTAGTTGATTCCAAAGGAAGTGATAACTATCAATAAAACGTCAAAACACTAATAATGACTCATTTATAAATGTTTTGACATCATACAATATACAATCTCACTGAAAACACTCACATTCTGTGCCAGTCCAGGGAACTGTCTGTTGGCTTGGTCTTCAATCCTTCTCCTGGCTGTGTTCACACCTCTCCTCACCTGCCTCCAGTTGATCTGTACATAACCAAAATGATCTGCAATCTGGAATATTGAAATTAATTCTTAGACCATCTCACGTTTTGATTTCAAAGGGCTCAGGCAGATCCAAAGTTTTCTAAGGTGTGTGCGTGTGTGCATGCATGCTTGCATGTGTGAGTGTGAGTGGGTGTGTGTGCATGTGTGTGTGTGTGTGTGTGTGTGTGTGTGTGTGTGTAATAGTGCATGAGGGCAAGAATTAGAGAAAGCAATAACCTCCTAGGGAACTTAAATCTGTATATGAATTGAATTTGAGTGTATATTCATTGCCACATGTACTGTAACTAGACTTGTTTAATAATAATAATTCATTTGAACTTGGTTATTACACATGAAGTACCTGTAAGAGTAACAGACTACCTCCTAGCAGTGCAGCAGCAGCTTTGCCCACCTTGACTGAGATATAGCCAGCACACCTGAAAGACAGGAAAATAAACACACCTGAAATACAGGTAAAATGAACAGACCTGACATACAGGTATAATGGTAAAACAAATCTGACAGACATCCAAAGTTTTTTTTTTTATTTCACAATAGCCTTCCCAACCTAATATAGCCAGCACACATAAAACATGTAAAAAATTGCTATAATTTTACAAACAAACATAAAGAACCTCTGATGTTTTTTTAAATTTCATCTTATTCTTTCCTTGCCCTCCCCCATTCCCTCTGTCCCCACTCATACTTAGTCCTAGATTGCAAACTCACCAGCCAGTGGCTCCACCTATACCAACTTGTTTAGCAACCGAAGCATTGCTGAGGTCACCAATTATACGCCGAATCATCTCGTTGTGTCTTGGGTCTGCTGGTTCAATAAATTCGAATTCGTTATCATCCTCTTCAGGCTCAGCATCACTACCATCTCTGTTTCTGTCTTTGTTTGAAAAAAATAAAATTTTAAGATGTCAAAACATGAATGAGTTATTATAATTCAAAGTCTGAAGGTAGTAAATGTGCTAAAAGCAATATTTAATTTTTCTATGTAAAAAAAAACAAAAAAAACAAAATCAATATAGCAAGATCAGAAATAAAGCTTAAAATTCATTGGCAATTTGGTTATAAATTACGTTACACTGAACTCGGCATAATTATTTCAAAAGTATTATTTTTTAAATTTCTTAAAGATATAAAATTCTAATTTTTGAAAATATACATGTACCAACATCAACATAATGAAAATGTCTGTAACATTTCTGTTTAATCTTGCATATTCCCCCCCCCCCCTTGTGCATTTTTCTTATGTATTGTCAACTATATTATGCCATCATGTCAGTAAGAATATTTTCTTTTACTTCACAACTATGATAAAATTTACCTTCAGCCATCATGAAGGCCTGTCACATGTCACTTTAATTAGCTGCCTGATTTATTTCCCCAACCTTAAAAAAATCCTGGAAGTTTAAGGAAAATATATACATGATAAAATAATAATTATAGAAAAAGTATAATGTTTGACAGAATTAAACTGGATTATCTGCACCTAGTTAATCAAAAATGCTCTTCAATGTGTATCAAATAGGAATAATTTAAGTAACTTCAAACTATATTGTGTACAAGTGATCTATTTTTGTCACTCAATAAAACAGATTTCTCAAATAATCCTTTCTTTATACACAATGGACAACTTACCACTAACTCACGGACAGATAGCTTGCTTCCTACAGTAGTAAATTTTAACGTAAAATAACAGTATTCCTAGTAGTCCAGAAGAATATGGCACTTACATGTATCTTCAATTTCAATTTAGCTAATATTGTTTATTGAGTCAAAAACAGACTTAAATATTCAGTAAATAAACTGACGTGGCTAACACCCGGGTATTATGATGCAATTTGAAGGGGGTATTGGTCCTGAAATAAATGAGAAAGATATTAGTCATATGCCGTTTTAAGTGTTTTCCAAAACGACATTTTCAAAACACGAAAATTTAAGCAAAATGTTATTACAGTAAAAGGAAGGTTGAAGTCAGCTATGAAAAATTAATCTAATTATGTTGAAATAGAAATGTCAGGTATAAAATCTATCTAAACTGACACTTATGCTAGGACATTTAACATCTTGTGTTTACTTCTTCCTTTTAATTTATTTATTACCTGTCACCTTCACCTTCTATGAAAGTTACCTCCACTTAATAAAGAGCGGAAGCTGCCTCGTTATGCAGATTGAATCGGGAACCGAAAGGGACGAAATAGAATTAGAGTTTAGTGATTTAACTAACGAATAATTAAAAACCTGCCAATATCTAGGAGATTATTTGACATAATTATAGTTTTTCAAAATTAAGCAATGTGTTTCATCTCTTGAACACACATATTTTTTCGGTTTATTTTTGGAGCAGAAGCTTTACAACTCTTCCAACCTGTCGAGCCTCTTCCGCGAATACAAGATTACTGGGAGGACAAAGTGAATGATAGCAGTTATTGTTTTTTGCCTGTTTTACAGCAATTTAACAAACTGCATCGCGCTGCTTTGGTTCGCCACAAGGTGATGTGTCTGTGAAATCGCATTTTTTTTGTTTGTAATCGATTTACACAGATATGGAGACCGAGACGAGCCAACCCGCTCTTACCCCGGTTGAAATTGAGCTAATTCAAGAATATGATAGGTTGGTAGAAATTGTATTCTAAATTTTATCATTTTCTTGTGTTTTTTTCTGCACAGTCAATATTGGCTTCAGCAAAAGGTTGCTATGCTTCAATATATTTGGATATGAATGCATGTAAACATAGGTATTTGCAAAGCTTCATTTATCTCTCCCCTATGACATAGGCTATGTTACTGTGTAAGACCACCCACTAATTAAATTAGTGATTCGTTGTATTATTTCCAGTTCATTAAGTGACTTCCTGTAGCCTAATTTTATTTTTCTTTTATTGACTCCTGTTAACTTGTCATTTCGCTTGTTAAGGCATTGGCTATTGAAAACCATGTTTTGTATTGCGTTACTTGCTTTATTTTACACAAGACAAAAATATGTACTTTACCTAGATTTGTTACAATCAAAAGTCTGCAGTGATTGCTCCACAATTTCTATAACATTGCTCATCCTCATGTAAGAAGTAAAAAAAAAAATTGAAAAGTTAACCAGTTATGTTCATTTACTACAAGTTAACTGCCATATTGTTGCAAATTAGCATAAAAATCCACATGTTTGCACTCTTGTTTATAAATCTTTTCTAGTAACTACTATATTTACTAATGTATGAAGGGTATAGATACACATAACTGTAAAAGAATTGTCAGTTGTATGTCAGGAGATGTCACATCTTTTGTGAAAGATATGAAATGACAAAGCTGAGATGCTAAATGGCTGTCATTTTACAGGTATAGGCACCTATTTCCTTCAAGTGTTAACACATTATATTTAACTTAGGTCTCATACAGAATAGAAGACCAGCTAGTCCGAAGGTTAAATATGGCAACCCACTACAAAGCTTGCCGTCTAATCTGCTAATAGACACTGAATGGACATCCTGTGGGAAAGTATTCAAGTGGGTCTGCCATATTTGACCCTTGGACTAGCTTGTCCCCAATTCTGAATGGGGTCTTACATATGTAGTGAGGGTAGATTCCATTTAACGTATATAACATATATAAATCACTACTACTTCTACCAATATCGTATACATTTTCAATAAAGTTCATACAATGACCCTCTTTGGTATTTCTTCAAGTTATGTTATTACCTCTGCCAAGGAGGTTATGTTTTCACCCCTGTTTGTCTGTCTGAAAAAACTAAATCGTTATAGAATAAAAATTTTAGGGGTCAAACGGCATTGGGTGGAGACTTTGCTGCCTTGGCGGAGGTCTGCGCTCTCTGAGTGCTTTTCTAGTTTAAAACTATATGCTGGCAAAGGTTTTTCATGACAACTGTCTTCAGATGCATATTTTAATGAGAGCGTTAATGCTTAAAAACTTTTTAAAAATTTCTATGCTCTTGGTGCAGGGATGCAGTGTTGTATGATATAAGTTCTATTAGAGAAGAGAAGTGTTATAGTTAAAATTTTTCATCAGTTCACTTGTAAAATCTTAAGAAACTAACTAAGGACCATTCTTTCCAAACTTTTTTTTTTTGCATATAAAATGAGGACTTGTCTTTGAAGCATTAATCCATATGTTCAAAATGATGGTGGTATTTGCAGCACGCCTGAAATGCTGTTAAAAAATGTATTATGCTGGTATTTGACAGTCAACTGTTTTCCCCATAGTCATATCATGTAGCGTTACTTGTGATAAGTAAATAGATAAATTGTCTCAAATCCAACAGAGCTAGTAATCCAATGAAAATTTAAGACTTTTATAAAACAAAATGGTTTCAACTCCTCAGTAGAGGCAAATTAGCCAAAGTCAGATCAGTTAGATAAAAATTTACAATCAGTTATTTCTTTTGTGATATTTGCAATAATAAGGTTCACAGTTAATTTATGAAAAAAAATGTTTCAACTTTTGTTTCTTTTCTGAAAAAAAAAAAAAACATACATGAGATATAAAATGCAGTTTGAAAAAGAAAGAAAGAAAAAAACAGTTTACCTTGTAGTAGACACGAGTTATTTTTATATGAAAGTATTAAGTGCAATAAATTCAATGGCTACTGTATTTTTTTTTCAGTCGCGCCTTTGGGTTCCTGAAGTTCACAAGCCCTGAGGAAGAAGGGAAGCGAAGCCTCATTGTCAAGGTGAGTGTTCTTTAAAGTTGTTATTGAAAATGAATAAAACTAAATTTTAAATAAATTCTCAGAGGTAAAGATTGGTTCCAGGCGCTGTTTTGCAGTGGGTGCTTTTTCCAGGATTTGGGGTCTAGGCCGTCCAAAATTACCATGGTACCTGTAATTTCCTACAAAATTTTAGGGAGTCCAAGTACTAGTATGCTTAAAGCCATCATACTAAAAAAAATCCACAAGCAGTCCAGTCGTCTTTGAAAATAAATGCTGTCTGGTGATGCTGGTGGCCATCCAAATTATGGCTGAACAGTTCACTGGGAAAACCCTTGTTTGCAGTATTTCGGAAGATATTATACTGTCTTTTGAAAACACCATATATATATATATAACTTGTTTTTATATAAAAGTTCAGTTGCTTTAATGCAACAATCAGGGGATATCTCTAAGTTTTTAAAATTTCTCTATTTAGGCCATCGAATACTATGAGTCTCAGATCAAGGAGCAGGCCAAGCAAGACAAGACCAAGCCAGAGGGCACCCTGAATATCACTAAGGTGGACCCCACTGTGTATTCCACACTGGGGCACCTTCAGCTTCTCATGGAGGACTTCCCTAAAGGTAACACCAGGTCTAATGAAGTGGCTGGCAAATTTTTGATTTTTTTAAGCAGTTTGGTGAAAATTATCTGTCCCTTAAACAAAATACTAGTATACCAAATAATGTTTTGACTACTCTATACAGGGCTTGACGTTAAGGGTGGCCCACTGGCCCTGGGCCACTGAAAACCAACCTAGGGCCATTGAATCGATGTCATGTGTCAAATCATCCTTGCAATATTTATCCATATCGTGGGCCAGTATCGAAAAAAGTTAGTGTCAAGCCCTGCTATATCCACCCTAGTTGCTTCTTTCTCTTCCATATTTTTTAACACTTCATGTCCAATTACTAGTGAAAGGATAAGAGGAAATGAGAAAATCCCCAAGATTCTAATATACTAGAATTGAATTGGTTAGGGATAGAAATGACTCCAGATAGACCTCTTAATGTTGATATATATTTCTTTTCTATATTTAGCCCTTTCATCTTACCAGAAGTACTTCAACCTCCAGCAGGACTATTGGAAGGTAAGCATCCACCTAAAACAGAACAGTAAGAAATTGGATAAATATTTTTTAAATAGACAAAGAAATTCAGGTTGTAGAAATTTTGTTAACATTCCATTTTAGTCATGGAAAAATGGGCCACCCCTAATAGAATATATTTTATAAGGATGATTTAGTATCTTACAGTGAAAGTGGATGCACATTCATCATTAAAAAGTTAAATTGGCAGTTAAATTGGCAACAGTATGATATAAAGTGTGGAATAGGATTATTCTAGAAAAATTGCTTCATTGAAAACACTTTGCTTGGAGATGCCAAAATGCAGACCTGCTATGTACAGATGAGACGCCCATGAATTTGCAAGTGAAGTTTTGCTGTTCATTGACCTACTTGACCAGCACCATTTTTTCTTTCAGCATTGATCACGCTCTACCCTTCCAAAGTCAACTCAAATAATAAATTAAGTCAGTTTTCCACTCTTTCTTTGCTCATAACTCTCTAACACATACCTATTTATGATAATTATAAATTTATAATAATAACACTTGAATATATTTTATATTATTTCAGAATGCTCCCTTCCTTTATGGCCTTGGGATTGTGTATTTTCACTTTAACGCCTTTCAGTGGTGAGTACTTTTTTTTAAGGGCTTGAAATATGCTAGCTTATATCTTGCCTATATTAGTAAGTTCTTGATTGTGCAAGTTACTGGCCAAAGTTTCTGTAAGAACACATTTATGACATGGTCCATTCCTAGTCATGGTGAAGTCACAATGTAGACCTATGTATGAGATAATACACTGTCACTTGAGCACTATATACCAAGACACTATATGCCAAGAGGGTCAGTGAGAGACGTTCCATGCATTTATCGTGCGAGGGTAGCAGTGTATTATTTGGTATTCATACCAAGAGAAAAGTACCACTATTACACTGAGAAACACCCCTCAAACCAAATAAAGCATATATTGCCACGATCAACTAAAACCCCTTGGTGTGTATGTTTGGTATTACAATCAAGGTTGATCAAGAGATGAAAGATTAAGGGGATACAGTGTAAGAAGAATAATTGTATCTCACCTATCCTATGGCTGGCACGTCAAACAATAGGAAAAACACATCAAAGCATATAAAAAATGCAAGTGCAATTATCCTTTTGTTTGAGGTGCCACCTGTGGGATAAATATGATATTTTGCGATATATAGAAATTTCTCAGTGACTGCTTTCTTATCCTGTTGTAATTGATATGAGGTAAATTGTGCCAGGCTCCTGTTTTCTTTCCAGATAAGTTGCAGATTTACATAACAGTAAATATTTATATATATTTTTTAACCTGTACTTTTGTATTTGTGAAAAAAGGGGAAAAAAGCATCGTTTTGTGAGCCATGATTGTTCCCTTTTTCCCCTTTTTTATCTACTGAAGAGTCCTGGTAAAGAACAAAGGATTGTTGATTGTACTGGTTGTACTGTTATCAGAGCATGTATCTGGAAACAACACATGTTCTCTTTTTATCCTTTGAAGTTCTGTTTACTTAGTGGGGACAGTTATCAAAACCCATTGAAAAACATATACTGTTTTTATATGAAGGTTCTTGTTCTTCTTGAGATTTATTCTATGGGAGCCATGGTGAAGATCATGCCTGTAAGGAGAAAAACTTTATTTTTTAGCTATCTATAGAGTGGCACATTTCAGCTGAGTGACATAATGCTGCAAGTATTTTCATTGTAGATGTGTTTTATTTAATGGAAGATTATATTTGTAGGTTTAAAATATTAGAGAAACAAAGAGAAACGTTAAGCTGCAGAGGTTCAAATTAGATATAAGAATATTATTTATAAACTTAAAAAGTGATGTATCTTAGAAGTGACAACTATATCATAGAACATTATTTTGTTAAAGTTTCTCTTCCTTTGCTCTAGAATGCAGGGGTGGCGGGGGGGGGGGGAGATAATGAATATTAAAAGACCAAAAATTGATTCTTGCCAGGGGAATGACAGTGAATTACTAACAACTGTTATAAAATGAAATTTTGCTGCACATCTGTTTTTCTAAGATAATGTGTACTGTATTGCGCAGTTTTGAGTTGCTCCCTTACAAAATGACATTGATCATCCAGATAGAACTCATCCAGCCGCTGCTTGGCTGAGAACACTTGCAGGGCAGGAGGGCAGGTAAAACGACCTTGACCCAGTTACCTTGGCCTAGTTTCTTCTGAAGTCCCAGGTGAATTTTCCACAGCAAAAAAAACCAATTACATTTTCTCACAGAGCAGGCCGCAGACATTCGAAGTCAGGGAAGCATGGGCTGTATGCATTTGTAGATAATTTTCAGATGGTAATGATTTTTTAAAAGTTGGAAGCCTTGGAAGATTATCTGATTACTTAGCTGTCTAAGAATGTTTTGTGTGAGATTTTCGATAGTGGTAAGTGTATTGTTCTTCTCTTTTTCCACAATTTTCTTTTTCGTAGAATGAAATATTTTTTATGTTTTATAATGTTTGAACATGCTAATATTTAGTATTCTGCTTTTAATAACAAATTTTTTAGTTTGGTTCAGATGAATTTAGTGAGAACATTCAAGTGATTGTTCTGTCATTGTGCTAGACGTAACTTAGGCAAGATGAGAAAATTTTGTTATGATCAGTGCTTTGAGCATATTTTGAGGAGGGTCAAATGCAGGACTAGTGGAAGTGAAGGCGTGCTTTCCGCTGTGGCAACTCCTGAGAAAGGACAGAGGCTGAAAGTGCAAAAGAAATCTGAAGTGTTTTGGGCATTATTTAGCAAAATGTGTCTTACATCACAATGAGTTAGGTAGATGAATACATAATTTTTTTTTTTTGCAAAAACATCAAACACTTGTTAGGGTATTTAAACTGAGATCAGTTTTTATTTTATTTTATTTTATTTTTATTTTATTTTTAAATTTCTTGAGAGGTTACATTTGATATTTCCCCTTTCAATATTTTTAGAGCCATGTTTAGATTTGCAGAGAAAACGGGTTATCTTTTAAAGCCCCTGTCTATCCTTGCACAAGCTCCCATCCCCACCCCACCCCCCATCTTCTCCATATTTACCTCTGGACTGCCTAGGATAGGAATACTGACGCAATGATTTGGATCAATATATCATGTGCATTGTTTTGCCAAAAAAAGAAAAAAAAAGGGATCTTGGGTTTTTCTCAGCAATTAGTCAGTCAAAAATTAGTGCAGCAATTCAGAACTAAGCTGAAGCAATACCTAGAAAAAAAAAGGTCAGACATAGCAGTGTTTATTTTGGATGACTTACTGGCTTGCTCAAGGTTTTTCCCTGTCTGGGAATTAATTTGGCATAAAAAAAACTTAAATTGTACATGTATGTAGAAGGTGCCTGCAGGGACCAGCACTGGCATTGTCTTATACATGGATGGGGGCCGAAGGGCCCCTGATGATGGATAATAAATGTCATGCTATGAGAATTGGTGCCTCTGATGCCATTTTACAAGAAAAAGAAAGCGAAGTAAAAAAGTTGATCATACTATTGGATAGCTACCTGTGTATAATTGAACCACAACTACATTTTTAGTACCTGCTAGTGATATTGCCTGTGCTGACATCTGGCTGTCACTTTTGGAACTAAGATTGCTGTCTGTTTTGGCCTAAGCTGGACCTGATTTCTCCTCATACAGCCATATAACTTCAACTGGCATAAAATTTGCTATGGGAAGTGTTTTCGGGTCTTTTTACATGGCACTACATCTTGTGCTTTTTTTTTCTTTTTGTGGGAAAGACAAGATCTCCATCCGTGAACAATGGGTTGACCTTTAAGAGACAGTGTCATTTCCCTGTGGGGTAACAATGAAAGGTGGGTGGGGGGAGAGCTTTTATCTCAGCTTGTTTCCTAGCTGAGCCACAGGAACACGCTGGGGAAGATGGGCCTATTGTTATAATAAAAATAGAAATAAAGTAAAAACAAAAGATTGGGCCAAATGCTGTTTTGTATTTTTGTTGTAGGTGGTGAGGGCGTGGAGATTTTGTGACCTCTCTCTCTCTCTCTCTCTCTCTCTCTTTGCGTTAATGCTTACATGCACCTTATGGTAAAGTCCTATACATATGGATGTGCATTGCATGTACAGCTTTCACTTAAACCCTGTTCAAGGTCCATGCATTTGACAGGATTTCAAAGCATGCAATGGAGAGATGTGATCCATTTCGAAAACAAAATATATTAATGACTTTACTATGCAAGTCTGCAGCATCAAACTGAGCAAGCACACTGGTAATGCCTGCTTCTAAACATAATTAAAACTCTAACAGTAAATTTATGTGTTAATTTCTGTATAAACCAACAGTTCATATCATCAACAATATTATGTTATGATTCCATGCTGCCAGTATGATATGAAATGCCTTGTGGGCTCTGAAGAAAAACAAGTTTTATAACGGGATATTTTTACATGCGTAATTAAGGTAATCCTATCCTTTACACTGGAACGGATTTGTTTCACCTTTAATAATGAGCACAGAAAACATGATACTCTGATATCAGACATTTTGCATTGAAATTCCTGAATATAAATGTATTTGTTCTACATATTTTGTAAATCAGCCATGCTGAGGTTAGTATTAGTATGTACATTTCCATGAAGTATTATGATCTAAGAGAATACTCTAAATGAAAAAGAATAATATATCAACGATCTAAGAGAATACTCTAAATGAAAAAGAATAATATATCAATCGATTAATATTTGCTAATTTGTCTTATTTGGTTTAAGAAATATATATGCCATTAAAAAATTTCAATATTTCTATGTGATAAAGCAACATTTATATACCAATCTACTGACTATCTACTGACCATCCGTCAGCTAGAAGACATATTACCAGGTTATTTAAGGATAGAACAATCTCAACGACTCCTGAACTTTTAACCCCAGACTATAACTGGGGGCGATCTCAAGATGAGTGGAATTCTATAAAGAGTGGAGTGGATTCTATAAAGACTGATACAGGTAAAAAAAAATGAAAATGTGAAATATTTAAAGGTAAAGGGCATTCCTTAATGTAGGCTCAACGGATATAGCTAGAGTTAAGTATTTTTCGTATTGAAGTTGTTCATCACTAGTGGTAGGTTACTGGATATTAGGTACAGCTGAATATACTAGTATATAATTTGTATTAGCCACACAGTGACCATTCCGATTATCTATGATACATTACCTACCATAATAGCCATTATAGCCATAAACCATGTTTCTCTTTTTAATGTACAAACTATTACAAAATAGTTGGAACATCATTCTCTTCAATTTTGTTACTAAGTGACACCCTTGGTGACTTATAATGTAATTTGGTCATTCCACAGTAATTTTTTGACTTAATTTCCCAAGAGAAATATTGAGAGAGAGAAAACAATTGCATGTTGTTTAATTCTTTTGAAGTAATTTGGAAAGATTTTAAGTGGCTAAGCATTTTATATAGAAAAGTTGATGTTTTTCATCTTTTTAAATTTGTTACAAGTCTTGCACTATCATGTTATTGCTGCTTATCGTTTAATGTTTGTATATTTCTTTACTTTTGTGTTCCTGACAATAATGTATTAATATCATCTAACTTCCCAAGCCTAGTACCATAGAAGCATATTTTGTT